CCTTTTCTTTTTATAAGATCTCTGATGCCTTCTGATAATTATAGGGTTCCTAGAGAATACATGTATCTTCTCTCCATATTAGAATGTAAGCAGCTCATCCTTGCTCAGTCTCTTATGGTTTCTCATTGATATGTACCTTTTTGTGTTTCTCCTGACTCCTGGGTTTGTATTTCAAAGTTTCCACACAGTTCTGATCTTTTCATCAGGGATACTGAGAAGCTCTCTATTTAATTAAGGTCCGTTTATTCCCTTGTAAAGTTATGCTCAGTTTTCCTGGATGAGTCATTATTGGTCATAAGCCTTTATATTTTTCGCTTTTTGAAATATTGCATTCCATGCTTGGCACTTCTTTATAGTGGTGGCTCCTAATTTTTTTTGTGATTCAGACTATGGCCTGTCCATGATATTTGAATGCTTTTTTTCCTGCTGCTCGCTCTCTCTCCCTCTCTCTCACTCGCTCTGTGTGTGTGTGTGTGTGTGTGTGTGTTGTGTGTACACATATGTATATCTGTTGTGTGTATTGTGTATGCATGTGGGTATATATACACACATATGTATATATAAAATCTATTTCCCTGGAAGTTCTGGATTTTTGCTATAAGATACCTGGGAGTTTTCACTTTGGAGTTTCTTTCAAGAGGTAGCTGGTAGATTCTGTGTTTCACTTTACCCTCTGCTTCTAAAATATATGGGCAGTTTTCTTTTATGAATTCTTGAAATATTATGTCTAAGCTTTTTTGTTTGTTTTTGTTGTTCGTGGCTTTCAGGCAGTCTGATAATTCTTAAATTATTTCTATTTGACCTATTATCTAGGTCAATTATTTTTTATATGAGATGCCTTGTACTTCTATCTTTTTTAGTCTTTTAACTTTAATGTTTATTGTTGTCTCATGGAGTCTCTAATTTTCCAAGAATCTGTTGCTTGGATAAAGTTCTGTACCTCTTGTAACAAGATATTAATTCTCTTTTCAGTTCTTTCTTCCATAGCTCTCATTTCTTTCCCAATTTTTCCCCTAGTGCACTCATTTCTTTTCCAGTTCCTCTAGTGCTCTGATTTAATTTATAAATTCACTTTTATCTCTGTAAAAAACAACAACTTTTTGTTTCATATCTTCCATTAATTCTGGCAGAACTTTTGCCCAAGCTGTGTTTTTCTTTGACATTTGCTTGTACGTGTTTCTCAGTCATTCTCTTCACCTGGGTTTGCACCTTGAATATCACTGTCACTATAATCACTCTTTATGGTGAATTGGTTTTAGTTTGTCCGTTCTCCAAGCCTTACTTCCTGACTTCAGGGCAGGCTCTGCACAATTCTAGAGGGAATTGCTTGGCTGTACTTGGTCCTGTTTTGTGTCCTTTTTGAGTCCTGCTACTGCTTTCTCAGGGTAGTTAGTGTTACGTTTTTTGCAGGATCTCAGGGACAGTTGAGGCTGGGGACCTTTCATTGCTGCCAGAGTGGTATGATCCGAGGGAAAGTCTGAGCCCTTCGAGCTCCTGACGTGGATTTTAGCTTGAACAAAATAGCTATGGGCCTTCCCTTGTTGGAGCTCCAAGAGGCTGCTGCGGGACTTAGCCACCAGAAGCTGCTGACAGTGATATCCAATGTCAGAATGAAAGAGTTGCAGGTTTTTCTTTGGACTGGGATGAGGCCTGCTTTGCCTCCCAGGATCAGAGACACACAGTTGCTACTCAGTACATGTTTGTTGCTCGATACCCAGCCTATAACCTGTGACAGCTACTTGCCCTGCTCTTCCATTCCTAGCTTCACATCCTCTCCTCACTACACATTGGGTATGTATAGACTCAGCCATAGGCAGCGAGCAATGAAACTACCAGTTTGTAGCTGTTGCTGTTCCGTGCACAAAACTAGGCCCCTATGTGCCAGATCTGAGACCTCTTTTTTCCCTGGTGCCCAACAACAGCTAGGCCTTAGTTCAGTCCTTATGCTGGAATACTCTACGAAGCACATTCCTAGCTAGACCTTATCCCAGTGTTAATAGATTTCTCTGTCTGTCTCCCTGAGCTGAACTGGACTGCAAAAATTATTCATTGTGATTTCCAGATCTGGACTTGGTCTGTTATTTTTTAAATTTTTGTGGGATAGTTGTGGGGGAGAGCTTTGCTGAATTGTTTCCTTCTTATCTATCTCATCTCTAACACTGCTTGCTTCTTTAAAGATATCGTATGATAAATTCTACTTTCAAAACTGTTTTCCTTGTTTGTGCTTCCTTTGCAGCTGCCTTATATTGTGTGCATTTTAAAAATTGCTAATAATGGCCTATTTTTGGAGGGGGGAAAGGGTCTCACTAATACTCCCTTTTCCTCTAATACCTCTTCTAGTTATTAAGGAGCCCCTGAATTTGTTTACTTGAGTTGCCCTCTTTTCCAGAGATAAAGCCCCCACTGAGCTAACTTAACAGTGATCTTTTGTGACTGAACTCTTACTAAATTCTCAGTGTCCTTGAAGCCAAGTCAGCTACAATCCTGGCTCCAGCGAGCCTAACCCAGACTGATGTTTGTGCAGCTGGGACCCTTGTGGAAAATCATATCATCATCATACGGATTTCATCATATCCTCATAGAATGCTGCTTTTAACATCCTGCTTACTCATGATCCCCCTCCCTTTTCCTTGCCCTTCTCCTCTACAGGAGGAGATTCGTCCTTTCCCCTCCCCTACTTTTTCCTTCCTCCTCACATGTCACTCCCATTTGGGAGGAGTTTGCCTGTCTAAGACCTGGCCTTTTGTTCCCCATAAAAATCCAGGACTCCGTCTATGGGACTGAACTCCTTGGAATAGAGTTCCAACATGCATGAACCTTTTTCTTTTAATAAATCAGATTATTACCAGTATCTCATGAAGTTTTAATTATTGGCTAACATAATTAAATGAGAGAAAGAAAGGGAGGGGGCATTGTAACAGCCATAGTCAGGAAAACAGATCCATGCAGTGCTCATGTCCAAAAAATATACGTCTCTGTCCTTGTGTCTGTCATTTCTCTTTCACTTGCTTCATCATAGGTCCTCCAGAAATTTGATTCTTCCTTGGATTGGTTTGGATCAAAGTTCTTAAGTCTTTTAAAGTTGTTTTTATCTTTATAATATTGTTGTCCTTGTATGAATTATTCTCCTGGTTTTGCTCACTTTATTCTGAATCAGTCCATATTACCCAGGATTCTCTGAAATAGTCTCTTTTGCCAGTTCTTATAGATCAATAATATTTCATTATATTCATATAAGCAAACATAGGTGGCATAGTAGATAGAGGGCCAGGCCTGGAATCAGAAAGACTCGTCTTCCTGAGTTCAAATCTGGCCTCAGACGCTTACTAACTTAACTGTGTGACCCTGGTCAAGTCACTGAACTCTGTTTGCTTCAGTTTCTATGTCTGTAAAATGAACTGGAGAAGGAAATGACAAACCACTCCAGTATCTGTGCCATGAAAATATCAAATGGGGTCATGAAAAGTTAGACACAATTGAAAAACATCTTGACAACAACACATTCATATACTACAATTTGTTTAGCCATTCCTCAGTTGCCTAAACTACCCCCTTAGATTCTAGTTCTTTTCTTTTTTCCCCCCACTTTTAATTCCCCCTCAGGATCAGGAACTTTGTTTAACTTGTGACTACTATTCTTCCCCTTCACTCTGCCCCGCCTCCTGCATGCCTTTTTGTTTTCCTGTTGAGTATGATGTATTTCTACCTTGTACCTTTGGTACAAGTCATTCCCATTCCCTTCATCTCTTCTTCCACATTTGCATATTTTTTCTTGAAAATGCCAGTTATAAAAAATAGCGAATTCCAATCTTTTCTTTCTCTTCTTTCTATACTAGTGATTGTTTTTTCCCCTCACTTATTTTTTCACTCTTCAAAGCTTCAGAACAGATCCAACCCACCCCTGGAAATTCTTAATTCTTTTATCTTTTCTTTAAATCTATCTCTCTCAATACTCTTTTAAGATAATAAGGTTCTGAAGGGACATGTGTTTCTTCTCCTTTTTGAATGTTAACCTTAGATCATCATATAGTTCCTTCCAGTTCTTCAAATAATTTACCTTTTCAGGTTTCTTTGGGCTCTTGGGCTTGTGCATCAGAGTTCTTACTCAGTTGTAATCTTTTATTCAGAAATGTTTAAAAGTTCTCTATTTTGCTAAAATTCCATTAAATTAGTCTCCCGTAGGTTTATATTCAGTTTTGAAAGGTAACTTATTTTTGGTTGTAAGCAGCCTCTTTTGCCTTTTGTAATATTGAATCCTAAGATCTCCATTCTTTTGACTTTTATTTTACATTCTGATTCTAAAAGTTCTGTGCAGTTTTCACATGATTTCTTGAAATATAATATTCAGGCCTTTTAAAAAATTACTGTTTTCAGGGAGCCCAATGATTCCCAAATTATTCTCTCTCATTATACCAGTGAGTTTAAATATATATATATATATATATGTATGTGTGTGTGTATATATATATATATATGTGTATATATAATTATATATGTATGTATGTATATATGTGTGTGTATATATGTATATCAGATGTCTTACATTTTCTTCTAATTAGTCTTTTGATTTTGTTCTAACATTTCTTCATGTCTTATGCAGTCATTGATTTCTTTTGAGCTATTCTAGTTTTCAGGGATTCCATTTCTTGGGTAAGGTTTGCCACTGTCTATTCTAAGCTATTTAGAAGCTTCCTTCTAGTTCAGAGCTTTTATTTAAATTTTTATCTCTTGCTTCATTTCTCCTAGGTATTCAGGTGATCCTTGTGCTCAAAAGGAGTGAGCTTTCATTGACCATTCCTCCCTGCCTCCTACTCCTATTGCACTTAAATCTATACTAAATGTCAAAAATTATTTCTGTAGAGAGCAAGAGGACAGGTTAAGATGTCTAATTAAAATGAAATTTATATTGCATTTATTCTACAAAAAGATTAATATGATTTTAAATAGTTCTAATAATTTTTCTATATTTAATCACCTTTACTCTTTATTGTTATTTTTAGGTATATTCTTGTCAGCATTGTCAAGTGGCAAAAAACTCAACTGTTTTAGCACGCAAATATCAGCCTCTTAAAGTGGAAGAACCATGGAGTGTTGTTACTGTGGATTTAATGGGACCTTTTCATTCCAGCAGCCAAAGCCATATGTATGCCATAATTATGACCGATTTGTTCACAAAATGGATTGTGATTTTACCTCTCCATGATGTTTCTCCATCTGAAATTTCTAAAGCAATCATTAGTATATTTTTCTTGTATGGTCCCCCTCAGAGAATAGTGATGGATCAAGGAGATGAATTTATTGATCAGGTAAGAGTAGCTCCCTCCCAAATTCTGGGAATACATGACTATAGCCTCTAGTCAAATTATAAGCCCCCAAAGGCACAAGGACTATGTCACATTCCATACCTTTGGTATGTGTAGGGCTCTACATGTGGTAGGCATTCAGTCAGTATATATAGATAGTGTTTTACAGTTTACAAAGTGGCCTCACCTATATTGTCTCATTTGATTCTTGCTATAACACTGTGAAGTAGGTCAAGCATATATCAATAACTCTATTCTACAGAGAGGAAACTGAGTCATGAGGTTGTATTTAGTCATACATATAGTCATTAGTAGAAACAGAATTTATACTCAGGGTTTCCTTAATTCTGTAGCTCTTTCCATTACAACCACACTACTTGTTTGACTTTAAAAATAGCGATTACCCAATGTGTGGCAGAAGTTAAAAATGTTGCAAAATGGTATGGCCTTGAGAACATATAATCCATAGCAATGTTAAAAGCATCAAAATTATGGTAATTTCCAATAACAACAACATGGATTTTCCATTTGGAGTTTTTTGGCTCTTTGTTTAACAATTCATTTAATTTATTTAGACTCATGTTAGGGTAAATTGGTGTGAGTCAATAGATTATCTCTCTGTGGATTTCAGAATTATTTAATTTTTACTAAGGTCAGCCATTTCTAAAGTCTTCTGTCTGGCAAAAATTAAAACCTGACACAGAAGAAATTAAAGTCATCTAACAAACTTTTAAATTATGAAAAAACAGCCCAAATCTTTATCTCAAATTTATGGTGCTTTCTTTTTTTTATATACATTACATTGCCTCTCATCACTGCAGACTTTCCATTGCTTCTGCTTTCCCATTTATCAACACCAAACTTTTTATTCTTTTTCTTCTTTCTATTTGACTCCAAGATCCCAATGATGTTCCTGTAGCAAAAAGGACACCTTAGGACACCTAAAAAATACAATTTCCTATAAAAACCAAGTAAAAATGAGAGAAGCAGAGTATATGATATTTAACAAACCCACTATCTGAGCTTTTCAAAGACAGGGTTCTTATTTTGAGGTCTGTGAACTTTGGTTAAAATAATTGATAACTATAATTCAGTATAATTGGTTTCCTTTGCAATCTTATGTTTTTTATTTTACGTACTTAGACACATCATTCTGAGAAGACATCCATATCACCAGACTTCCAAATAGGGATCCATGACACAAAAAATGTTTAAAACCCCCTGCTCTAAGGCCTTCTTGATTTCTTTTAAGCACATGATTTGATGCTTTTTTGTGTATGTCTAATTTCTTCTGTCAGGAAGCTGATAAAGATTTCTTTTCCCCACTCTAGTCCATCCTCTACTCAGCTGCCAAAGTAATCTTTCTAAAGCACAGATCTGATGATGGCACCCCCTTACTCAAAATCCTCCATTAGCTCCCTTTCACCGCCAGTATCAAATATAAAATCCTCTTTTTGGCTTTTAAAGCCCTTCACGACCTGGTTGCCTCCTACCTTTCCAGTTCTTCACCCCTTATTCACCTGTATTGTATTCCACAATCCAGTGACACCAGCCTTCTTGCTGCTCCTCTAATAAGGCACTCCATCTCTCGACTCTATGCTATTTCACTGGCTGTCCCCCATGCCACAATTCTCTCCCTCCTTTTCTCCACCTACTGTCTTCCCTATCTTCCTTCAAGTCTCAACTAAAATTGTATGTTCTGCAGATAGCAGTCCCTCTCAATCTTAGAGCCTTCCTTTTGAGATTAACTCTAACTTGCCTTTCTGTATCTTGTATGTATAAAATTGTATATCTCTCCCATTAGATTGTGAACTCATTGAGGGCAAGGATTGTCTTTTGCCTTTCTTTGTATCCTCAATACTTAGAACAGTGTCTGGCACATAATAAGCTCTTAATAAATGCTTGTTGAGTTGACTTCACAAACATTTTCAGAGGAAAGGACATGGTCAAAATTATATTGAAAGCTGTAATCATTCAACAGAAAAATGTACAAGTGAAAGAAAATGGCAACTTTGTTTTATTTTTCAGATTAATGGAGAACTCTTTGGGCTTTTTGGTGCAAAGCAAATGGTGAGTTTCTACCCATCTCAACCAGACGATGCAAGTGAAAGAACTGCAAACACAATTAAAATTTTTCTTTCAAAATACTGCCTGGACCACCCAAATGATTGGGATGACCATCTACTAGCTATTTCATATGCCTTCAATTTGACTCATTTGGTATGTACTTTTTATTTCTTTGGTTAATGTTGTTTATTGATCATTTCTAGTTTGACATTTAAAGTATTTAAATCAGATTTGCCTATTTGTCTTCTTTGAAATAGGATCCTTCAAAAAATATGCCATACTTCCAAATGTTTAATCGAAATCCAGATGATCTTGGACCTTCAGATGTATTTCATGAAGGAGAAGGTAGTGATAGCATATGCATGTTTGCCAAAATTTTACGTGCGGTTAAAGAGGCTGATAAGATAATGGTGGACAAGACAACATCAACATGCCAAGTAATTCTTATTAAAATTACTTATCCATTAAAAGAATAATTACCTTTAAATTGCCCATCATTCATTTATTATACAACTAAGGCAAAATTTCTTTGCTTGAAATTGACTTTTTTTCATTTGGACAGTATGCTCATTAGTTGTCATAAAAGTACTTTGACCTTTCAAGAAATGTTTCTTGCTTGTTTTCTTTTTTAAAAAATGCAGTTGGATAACCACATTCACGATGAAACACAAAGTAAAAGCAAGATTATCATTAAAAGGAGACCAAAGCAACTAAATCCATTTCACCTTAAAGTTGGACATGAAGTTCTTCGACAAAGGAAAAACTGGTGGAAGGATGGACGTTTCCATTCAGAATGGGTTGGTCCTTGTGTCATAGACTACATTACAGAAAAGGGATGTGCTGTCCTAAGAGACAACACAGGTACCAGACTTAAGAGACCCATCAAAATGTCACACCTTAAACCCTACGTAAGAGATTCTGGTGAACAAGGTAAATCTCAATTACAGCTTTTATTTTGGTCACTTTTTTTTTTAATGAGGCTAAAGATGGAAGATAAGTATGATTTTATTCCTTTAGGGGCACTGCTGTTCCTACGGTTCTTGGGTTCAGGGTCCTGGACTGTCTCTGTCAGGGCTTAAGGGGTGTCAATGGTGGTGTTTTGACCCACTTGGCATATGCTGCCTTCTTTCTCACAAGATGCCCTGCTTCGTCGTTAAGAAATTTTTCCTTATATTTAAAATTTTTGCAAACTCCATCCATTATTCCCACTTTAGCCAACAGAGACAAAGCAGGACAAATCTTTTTTAAAAATTTTATATTTTATTTTCCAATTATATACAAAAATAATTTTTAACATTCATTTTTTAAAAAATTTTGAGTTCTAAGTTCTCTCTCTCCCTCTCTTCTCTCCCCACTCATCAAGAAAACACAAACCCCTGCCCCATAAAAAAAAAAAAGAAAAAGAAAATCAAAAAAGATAAAATTTTAAAAAAGGATGCTTCGATTTGCATTCAGACTCCCATCAGTTATTTCTCTGGAGGTAAAGAGCATTTTTCATCATAAGTCCTTCAGATCACCTTAGATCATTGTATTTCTGAGAGTAGCTAAGTCATTCACAGGTGATCATCATACAGTATTGCCATTACTATGTATAGTGTTCTGGTTCTGCTTACTTCAGTTTGCATCAGTTCATATAAGTCTTCTCAGATTTTTCTGAAAGCATCCCATTCATCTTTTCTTAGAGCATATGTGTATTCCATCACAATCATATACTACAACTTGTTCAGCCATTCCCAATCAATGGCCATCCCCTCAATTTGCAATTCTTTGCCACCACAAAAGAGCTGCTATAAATATTTTTGTACATACAGGTCATTTTCCTTTTTTCTGATCTCTTTGGGGTACAGACCTAGTAGTGATATTGCTGGGTATATACAGTTTGACAGCCCTTTGGCCATGGTTCCAAATTGCTCTCCAAAATGGTTGGATCAGTTCACAACTCCACCAACATCATCAGTGTGTTAATGTTCCAGTTTTTCCACATCCCCGCCATCATTTGTCATTTTTCTTTTCTGTCATATTAGCCAATCTGATAAGTGTGAGGTGGTATTTCAGAGTTGTTTTAATTTGCATTTCTCTAATCAGTAGTATTTCAGAGCATTTTTTCATATGCCTTTAGATAGCTATGATTTCTTTTGACAACTGCCTGTTCATATACTTTGACCATTTATCATTGGAGAATGAGTTGAATTCTTATAAATTTGACTCAGTTTTCTGTATATTTGAGAAATGAGTCCTTTGTAAGAGAAACTTGCTGTAATTTTTTTTTCTAATTTTATAAAGCCAGGCAAACTTAATGCTCCTTAATGCACAACATTTTAGATACTTAGATGGCTATCATATTACCCCAAGTTTTTTTCTTTTACTGACTAAATATCCCTAGTTCCTTTTATGGGTAGTCATATGTTATGAACTCAAGCTCCTTCATCCTTCTGGCTGCTATCTTTTGGACATTCTTCAGTGATTGTTGCCCTTCCTAAAATCTGGTGCCCAGAGTAGACACCGAAGCATCTAGATCAGGGGTAGGGAACCTGTGGCCTTGAAGTTACACATGGCCCTATAGGTCCTCAAGTGCAGCCCTTTGACTAAATCCAAACTACTTTAATTCAGACCCTCATAACCTCTTTTCTAGCCTATTGCAATGATCTTCTAAGTGATCCTCTTGCCTTAAGTCTCTCCTCTCCAATCCAACCTATACACAACTACTCAAATGATTTTCCCAAAATTCAGGTTTAACCATGCCATGCCCCCTTCTCAATAAATTCTGATAGCTACCTATTTCCTTTAGTAAATTTGAAATTTAAACTATTATTTAAAATATAAACAAGTTACTTGTTTGGCTTTTAAATTCTGTCACAACAGGGTCCCCAGCTTATCTTTGCAACCATGTCATACATTACTTAACCTCTTCCCATACTCTACCCCTTCCCCAGGCCTTTGACCTAGCTGTCTCTAATGACTGGCATGTCCTTTCTTCTTTACTTCCAACTCTAATCAAGCACCACCTTCTTCATAAAGCCTCTCCCAATATCCCAGGTACTAGTGCTTTCTCATCCACTCCTAATTTACTTCATATTTCTTTTGTCTGAAATCAAACTTCACAGAACAAATCCTTTTATTAAGAGGCAGTTGGGGTTAAGTGACTTGCCTAGGGTCACTCAGCTAGTAGGTGTCAAGTGTCTGGTCTGAGACCAGATTTGAATTCAGCTCCTCTTGCCTCTAGGGCTGATGCTGTATCCATGTGCCACCTAGCTGCCCCTGTGCTGATGATTCTTAACTCTAGTTTCCTGCCCCAGGCTCTCGGCTGACCTCCAATCTCCTAATCTCAAATTGCCTTTCATATGTCTAAAATTGGATGTCTAATAGATATCGTAAGGTAAACATGTTTAAAATAGAACTCATTATATTTCTCCCTAAACCCTTCTTACCTCCTCCCTTCTTCCCTGTTACTATAAGAGGGCAACACCTAAGTCCCTTAGGCTTGTAAGCTAGTAGTTATCCTGGATTCCTCACTGTATCTTACCCTACTACATCCAGTCTGTTGCCAACGCCTGTCAGTTTCACCTCTACAATATCTCTTTTGTATATGCCCTTCTTTCCTCTGATACTGTTCCCACTCTAGTGGTGACTTTCATCATCTCATGCCTCTGTTATTCCAATAGCCTGCTGTGGGTCTGCCTCCGTCAACTCTCTCCACATCCAGTTCATCCTCCATTCAGCCGCAAAGTGATTCTCCTAAAATGCAGGTCTGACCATGGCCCTTTCCTGCTCAGTAAACTTCATTGGCTCTCTGTTGCATCCGGAATGAACTTACAGAGGATAGTTTGATTATGAAACACACTTTCCCCCATAATCTGGCTTGTACAAAACCAGAGAGTGGCCCTTAATCATTTTTATTTTTCCTTGTATTCTTAATATAAGAATATATTTTTTTTCTTTCAAAGCGATCTTACTTTAGGAATATATCTTATCGATGGCAGTCTGTACAGAAATCATAAAGACAGATTTATGCTATTTTAAACAATGGAAAAGTAAGCATTGAGATGCATAGGGTCATAGGACCCTTAGAGGTCTCAAGACAATCCCTTTATTTTACAAATGAGAAACAGATTGAGAGAGAGAAGTTAAGTGATTTGCTCAGGGTCACAGAGCTACTTGTAAGTAAATGAGGCAGAATTTGAATTCAGGTCTTCCTGACTAAATCTAGCATTCTAGCTATTATGCCACAGAGTTACCTTATGCAAAAAATATCATGTTAACCATCCTAATACTGGATTCTGAAACTTAATTCTGAGCCTTTTAAAAAAACCAAACTACCTCCTGCTTTTTAACTTGAACAATAAATGTCATTTCTTCTTTTCCTATAAAATCACATTCATATCTTCCCTTAAAAAAATTTCATAAGTTGATTTTAAAAGGATTCTCTAGTTGAATTTTAAGCAAACAAAAGGCCACTGAATAGCCTTCCACTTTTTTTTTTTAATTTGACTGTAATTCCGCTGGACAAGCTGTATCCAAGAACACTGTGATGGTTGTCTTTTTGCGTCTACCATGGCTACTCTGCAGCCTTCAGATTTCAAAGCCATATCAAAGATTCATTGTCTAAGGCAAATCTGCTTTTATTGCCAGATTCTAATCTGTTCCTCTCTAGGACATGTGTAAAGAAAGCATATTCAGTCCTTAGGTTAAATTCCACATAGCTGTTATTTTAAGTGAGCCTATAGTGGGTTTTTTTTCCTTATTCCATGACTTTTTGGCAGAAAGGTTTATTAATTTGATAGCAATAAGAAAAATTGAAAAAGTCTTGGCACATTTGTTTGATTTAATGATATTCTCTCCTTCCTATCAAAATGAGATTTTATTGTTTCATCAGCAGCAAATTTGGGAGATATTTTCTAGTAGTTCTGATTATTTTATGATTATCCCATCCATACTCTTTTGCCTTTTATAATCAAAAACATACAATTTTGAGATGGAACCCTCTGGTCAAAAGATACAAAAGCTAACTAGTCTAATTAGGCTTGAAACATTTATTCTTTGATTTGGACTCCAGAAAAGAATCTTCTTTCTGTTTATGCATATCTTTTGCCCAAGCAGCCCACATCTTCTTTATCCTCATAGAAAAAATGCAACTTGCATAATATCTTCAGATCTGCATTGGGAAAAGTTTCCCAACTGTAAGTTCCTTGTTGATGTTGGTTTCTGTCTGTTCCATGGATGCCAGCATTCAGCATAATGCTTGGCACTATGTTTTTTCATTCATTGATAGATAGAAAGTGAACCATTCAAAAGTCAGTTGGCCTGTCTTACAGTTTGCAGATGAGTCTGTCTGATTATAATACACTCTTCTTGTATATGGACCATACTACACATTTCTTAAAGTACGTTAAAGAGATGGATATATGTTTTGGAATTTGGGAAGCAACTAAATGAGAACTCTGAAAATTATCTAAAGCTAATCATGAAACAATTACACAAAATAAAGTTTTCTAAAGCCATTGTATTTTCCACCATTGATTCAAAAGTGGTCTTGATAGACAAATAAAGCATTTCCATTAAAATGTCTCTAACCTTAACAAGTGAGCCCACTTTGTTTTAAAATAATAATATTGCATTTCTTCAATAACATGTAAAAATAATTTTAAATATTCATTTTTTAAAACTTTGATTTCCAAATTCTCTCTCTCCTCTCCCTGACACAGTGAACAACTTGATAATAGGTTATACATGTGTAATCATGTAAAACATATTTCCATATTAGTCATGTTGTAAAAGAAGACCTAGACCAAAAAAATAAAGAAAGTGAAAAATAGTATGCTTCAATCTGCATTCAGACTCCATAGTTCTTTTTCTGGATGTGGATAGCATTTTTCATCATGATTCCTTTGAAATTGTCTTGGATCATTATATTGCTAAGAATAGTTAAGTCATTCACAGTTGATCATACAATATTGCTGTTAATGTGTACAATGTTCTTCTGGTTCTAAGTGAGCTCACTTCAGAGAGAAAACATGGCAAACTATATAAATGAAAATGAAATTTAATTTTATTTGACTACCAGTTTTCAAAGTTGGATATAAAAGTTAAATTTAGGTTTATTTATTATGTAAATTATTTACTTGAATATCACAACATCATCTCCTATCTTTTATAAGTATTTAGTGGAACTTTTAAAATCCAGTTTTTGGGTCTGTATTTTGCTTCCTTCAATTAAATGCTTTTAAAACTCTAATGCCAGTGAGTTGGATCTTTACATTCAGAAGGACATCATCAGGTGACTTGTTTTTCAAGTTTCAACTCTTTGAGGAAAGCTTGTTCTGGAGAATATTACATACTTTGGATTTTACCAGGTCTGTGAAGAGCCCAGAAAAATACTGTATCAGTCTGTATGGGGCTCACCAATTTAAATCCTCAAAAGGAATGAGGCAGTGTACAGGAAAAAAAAATTTAGGCTTTATTTTCAGCCGATAATGATTTATACTTTAAGTAATATCTCTTTGTACAACTAAAATAATTTTGAAATATCTAAAATACTATAATTATCTAAAATTAGATTTATTTTAAGGGTGTGGGTATTCTGTAGAAGCCATGGACAATATGGGAAAAAAATTAGGAGAAACAAAAATAAAAGACTTCATTGGCTTTATATGTTGCAAAACTCCATTAAATTATTGCTATAGCTCCATCAGAGCTCTTTGTGTCTTAAACCCTACAGGTAAACATTTTAAAATGGATATTTCATTTAAATGTCTGAATTTCTACTTTTTCTGATAACCCTGGGCCCTCTACAAGAATCAAAAAGAGGCTTCACCTGTAAGAATAAACGAGGTGGTTGGTGTATTTTCAGCACAAGTATGCTTAATGTAGAATATTCAAAATAATTATCCATTGTATATAATCATATTTGTATAGAATTCTCTAAGTCAGTTCTATGCAGTTTTATTAACTTTCTTGTTGGTTTTTAAACATTTTTCCCCAGGTTGATTGCTTGAGTACTATAAAGTTGATTATATCTTATTCCAATAAGGAAATTTGCTAAAGTAGTCATTGAGTATTTCAGATATCCAGTTGTATTCTGAGACAGAATTACTGATTCACATTTTCATACTGCTGTCTTCCATATCTACATCTTATTTTCCATTTTCTAGTTAGGTCTTAAAATCAGTTCTAAGAAATCCCTAATCCCCAGGGTCATACATGTGCCAAGAACCTAGGCCATTAGGTTTTGGAGGAAATCCAGTCTGGATACCAGAAAATAGGATTTTTACATCATGAATTTAGTTGTTTAAAAAGTTACATGAAGAGTTTTAAATTTCATTAAAGAGTTTATCAGGATTGTTAATGATCCTTTTAAAATTTCATTAATTCATCTATTTGTGCTTCCTTGTATGCTAAAGGAAGTGTGTGTGTGTGTGTGTGTGTGTGTGTGTGTGTGTGTGTGTGTGTGTGTGTGTGTGTGTGTGTGTGTTTCAAACTGGACTTGTGATTTCATTGGTATAGGTAACTCCTGGTGAGGAAACTCTGTCTCCCAATTTAGATCTGCACCTCTTCTCCAACTTGTGTCCATAGAGAGTTACCTAAAGCCTCTGTGACATTAATAGATTTACCCAGGCTGACATAGCCAATTTATGTTAAAGATAGGACTTGCACTCAGGTCTTCCTGATCATTGGGCTGACACTCTATTTACTACACCATGCTACCTCTCATCAGACTTCTTAGAGTAACATAATTTCCAAACATTATAGTTTTAGATTGCTACTTAAAGAGAGAAAAAGTAGATCATAGAAACCATAAACTTTCTAGCAATCTGATATGATTTTTAAGAAAATTTTACTTTTAAAAACTGCTTATTCTTCCACAGCTGTGAACTATCATAATTGCTAAATATTACCTTCTTTATATACCTATTCATTCACTCACAATAAGAAAAAGGAAGTTGTTATATAGATTGGTATTCTTATTTCTTATTTTGTTTATAAATATAATTGATTGTCTTAATGAAAGATAAACTCATGATTTTTTGTTTGTTTGTTTTAGATAGCCATTATCATTTATATGATTCAGTAGTGGCTGATCATGACTACGTTGGGTTAGCTGAAATTCCAATTGGATCATACCAGCCAGAGATTCTTGTAGAAGATGCAACTATTTGTACATCAAATGACAAATTATCTGTACCAAATAAGGATCATGAACTATCAGAAAGCAAAAATTCTAAAATTTCTCAGCTGTTAGAAGATCATGGCATTCAACCTGTCAATTTAAATCTTGAAAAACAGACTTTCAGTTTGTTGGACTCTTCAAACCAAGGCCTTGAATATTTAAGCTAGTTAAATAAATTCAGGCGGTGTTTGCTTAGAATTCATAACCTCTTTTTATAATGCTTTGGCTTCATGAGACAAAAGAAAGTATATGTTAACATATTATTAAATCCTGAAATGGTTTTTACTATTTATTTAGAAAAATATGTATATATATATATATGTATATATGTGTGTGTGTGTGTGTGTGTGTATATATATATGTGATGAGTGTGTATATACACATGTCTATCTGTCTCTATATGTGTGCACATATATAAGTATAAAACACATAATTATGCTATATATATAAAATAGTAAATGTATTTTAAATACTTATTATGAAAGATGCATTTTTCCCAAAAGAGAAGTGCAGGGTGTATGTGTAAAGCACCTTCACTTTAATAAAATAAAATAAATTCCAGATTAGTGTCTACTGTTTTTAACCTGTTTTTAACCCTGATTTTTTTCATAAAATATTGTTTTTCAGAATGTAGCAGATTCTACTGTACTACCTAAAATTGAATTTTAAAATGGTGAAATTGATTTTTATGCTATATGAGATTAATATGATGTTGGAGGAAATAACTGAGGCTTACATCAAATGGAATCTTATAGGATATTAGTTATATCAACTTTTTTGGGATGACATCACAGAAATGTCTTTTCATTTTGAAGTATATCACTTTATAAAAAGTATAGATAAACTTTAACCTGATCCATTATTTATGTATAGCTATGTAATCTGACTGGCATTCACACCGGCATACATACGTGTGTTTGTATTCATGTGTGTACATGTGTATACATATGTGTGTTCATGTGGATATGTATATGTATATAGATATACACATATATACAAACTGCCCCAGAATTGTTAGTACAGCTTTAGTATCTTCAAACTACTCCGAGATTTTTGAGACACCCTGCATAAACACACAAACATATAATACATGTATGTGTGTGCGCGCACACACATAATGCATACATGCACACACATGTATATATGTATGTATGCACATATACACACACGTGCAGTTTTCACCTATAACCGCTTTCAGAAGAGGCAAATGATAACTGCCATGAGGGAATTTTTTAAAAATTCAGGCAATGTCCTAATGCCATAACACATTCACTATACTCTCAAGCTGTTTTCTCCTTCAAAAACCCATCTTTTTAATACCACTATGTTCCTGGTAATGTTATGTGGTGACGACATGAAACATGGCATGAATGCAATGATGTGAGAAGAATTGACACTTCATCTGACTAAAAATATAATGGAAAGTTTTATGAGCTGAAGGATGTCAGTGGTGACTCATATATTATTGGAAGTATAAGATATATAATCACAGAATCTGAGTTAGCAGGGCACTCAGAAGTCTCTTAATCTAATCTGTTCTCTGATGAGGAATCTTTCGTATGACATCAGCAACAAGTGATCGTCAAGTCTCCATTTACCAATCTCTGGGGAGAGGAAACCCAGCTACTGTCTCATGCAGAAACCCATTCTGTTTTGGAAAAATGATTGTTCAAAATTTTTCTTTACAATCAAGCCTAAAGCTACTTTTTTGTAATTTCTACCCTTTCCTCCTAATTCTGCCCTCTGTAGCCAAGAGTATAACTCCTTCCATATAACAGTCCTTCAGTTACATAAAAACAGCTATCATGTTTGAATTAAGGCTTATCTTCTAATAACAGATGGACTCCTTGAGTGGTGCTTTGATGTCCACAACCAGAGGAGGGCCTCCCACATGGCTGGGTAGATCTGCAGCAGAAACTCTACTGAAATCTAGGCAGATACCTCAAGGGCATCAATAAGAAAAACAGGGAGGCACCATGTACTACAAAATAATTATAGCAGCACTTTTTATGGTAGTAACAAACTGGAAACAATGTAGCTGCCCATCGACTGGGAAATGGCTAAACAAAGTATTGTCATGAATGTAATGGAATATTACTATGCTATGAACAACAAACCTAATGAATACAAAAACCATGGGAAGGTTTATGAATTCGTGCTAAGTAAAATAAGAACTAGAAATCTAATACACAATGACTAATGTAAATGGAAAGAATAACAACAAGAATAATTAAAAGTGTGGTGAAATTATGACAAAATTTAGTTTCAAGAAGAGATATAAAAGGAGACCCTCTCACCTTTTACAGAAGATAGAGACCATACATGCAGGATATTGCATGTAATATCAGTGTTAGTGTGTTCATTAATATGAATTTTTTCTTTTTTCTCTTTTAAAATTCTGTATTAGAAAAGATAGCTCTCAGGGAGATTAAGAGGAGGAATACAATAGGAAATGCAAGTGATGTAAAGACAAAAGATCAATAAAATTTTATTTGAAAATAAAGACAGGAGGATTGATAAATTGTGATATATATCAGTTGGGAGATTACCAATATCAATGGCATTGCTTATCCTTTGATGTGAAGGAGTATGTGTTATATCTTGGTATTATTCAAAATTCTTACATTTTCTGCACTGTGTTAAAAAATGGAAATTGATGAGAATATTGACCCTGAAGCATTACAATACCCTCAAATGCCCAAGAAAGGTTATTTTATGTTCAGTATAGTGTTTATCCTTGCAAGAAATTAAATACGATGTTTAGGAAGATTTTCAACAAATGTCAAAGTGGTAATGGTTTCTAGTGAACTCTTTTTGCCTTTAGGAGCATTAATATATCTTAAAATTATTGCTTCAGTTTCCAAATTGAGTCACAAGGTGGCAGTGTTAAACCATGAAAAGTGACTGCTAAATATGAAATGTGATATTTCCAAATTTCCAAACATGGATTTTTTCCATGTTGATTAATTTTTTTTTTCCAAAATGGCCTTTGTCCCAAATTTTAATTTACAACTAATATTCAGGTTCTTCTAGAACACTTTGTATCTCTCATTTGCACATTTTACATTCTACTTCATATTTGCTGGTATACATGTCTAAATGTCGCTTTTTAGTATAGAGGCTATAATCTTGAAGACAAGGATTTTTGTATCTCTGTACCCTCAGTGTGCAATATAAAACTTTAATGAATAAGGACTTTTAAAGTGTTTATTCAACTATAGAGAACATATCCTTAGGATTTCATTTCACTCAATGCTTAGAGACAAAAGGGGATCACATATTTGGAAAGATTTCTGGCCTATATCTCCTAAAATATTTGGCAGTGCATGAACCTACCACAAAATGGCATTTGGATCAGTGGAGGGTATATTCCAATGCTGATATTTTTTAGAACAAGATGTTGTCTATATAGGAGCAAGTGCAAAAAGGAAAGGCAAGAGATAGGTGTGGTTGGGGTGGAAATAAAGAAAATAGCTGTGATATTCTTAGTCCATGTCTTGCATTTGGACCATAATGATTTCTGAACCAAAGTTAAAAATTTCATCCTTCCAGATGAGAAACAACTGGGAAGGAATCTATGATTTCTTTGGTATGAGAAGCCCCAGGGAGGAAAGTCCATCCAATACAAGTTGATATCTTTTCTGAAACTTCCATTCTTACACAATTGTCTTAAGCTTGATAAGTAGTTTAGTGCCTACTGACTGACTAAAGCACAAATAGATTAGGGGACTTGCCCAGGGCTATACACCTAGTCTCAAAGGCAGAACTTGAACCCAGCTCTTCCTAATTTTAAAGCCTGGCTCTCTGTCCTCTATGCTAGAGTGCCTCTTTATGAGAGAGATTAACAAAAAAGAAGGGGAAAAGGGGAGCCAACAATCCTAATAGCAAATTAAAAGGGGCCCCTCTTCTAGGAAGTAAAATAATAGTTTAAAAGAAAATTTGTTTACTTATTAGTTTTACTTGTTGAAATAGCTGTAGAATATTAAAAATAGATTTTACTTTCTCTAAGTAATAAGACCAAGAAGAAAATGACAGGAAATACAATATATTATTATTTAAACAATAAATATGAATGGTCTGAATTCTCCCATTAAGGGGAAAAGTCGCAGAACAGATCAAAAAATTAAATTACATTAAATTATACATTGTCTAATATTTTTAAGATTTGGTACTTGGAGCTTGGGATAAAAAGCCAATTTAAAAAAAAATCCCACTCTCAAGGAACTTGTATTCTTCTGGTAGAATACAACTTGTACTCTATGTATACAGTTGTGGTAGCAGTGTCTACATGTGGTCTGAGCTGGTTGTTTTCCTTAAAATGTATCCTTAAAACTTCAGCTGGCTCAGGAAATTAAGGTTTTGTGGACTGTTAACATTACTGCCTGGTGACCTGAGTATAAATAGCCACAAGGTGCTCTAGTTCCTTTCTGATGCTTGGCTGGCAGACCAACTATAGGTAGGGGAGCTGTGCTTAGCTGAATCAATGCAAGGAGTCCTCACTGTAGAGCCTATTGAATATCTTTTCCCTGATATAGTTGAGAACATCTCATTTTGTAATTGTTGAATGACCTACAAATGCCTCATTTTGTTCTTATATCAGACTACTAACCAAAGATTAATGTGTGTCATATCAAGCTCAGAACATGAAGTAAATAAATCCAAAATAATTTCAAGAGGGAGAGAGTGCTAATTGAGGGAGATCAGGAAAGTAGCAATCTCTACTGTGTTTTAAAGGAAGATACTGTGAAGTGAAGGAGGGCATTACAGATAGTTGAGACCATTTGTGCAAAGGAACAAAAGCAAAGGGTGGTGTGGTACATACAAGCAATAGTTAGACTAGTTTGCCTGAAACAAAGAATGCATGAAAAGGAGGGAGTACTTAGGAATTGAATTTGAAAAATTAGTGAAGACATGATTGTTGAGGATTTTGTATGTTATTCTACAGGCAGTAGAAAGCCCTTGAAGATTTATGAGTAGAAAGCTGATTTGGTCATATCTTTGTTTTAGGAATATCAATTTGGCAACCGGGTAAATGATATATTTGAGAGATGAGAATCTGGAGACAGGAAGGACAGCTAGGAGGATATTGCAAATAGTCTAGGTGAGACAATGAGGACGCAACAACTAGGGCAGAGATTCTATAAATGGAGAAAAGAGGGCTGCATATGTGAGAAATGTTATGGAGGTAGAACTGACAAGACTTGGCAATTGATGAGTACAGAGGGATTGATGGAAGGAAAGTGAATAATAAATACACAAAATTCTCAATGTACACACACCAAACAATTTGACAGTTAAATTCATAAGAGAAGGAGTAACAACAATACAGCAAAACCCAAAAATAT